GTTAGAAGGAACATTCCTCAACACAATTAAGGCAGTCTATGATAAACCAATGGCCAGCATCATATTGAATGGGGAAAAGTTGGAGGCATTTCCATTGAAAACTGGCACCAGACAGGGATGCCTACTCTCACCATTGCTATTCAATAGAGTCCTAGAAGTGTTAGCCAGGGCCATCAGGCAAGAAAAAGAAATTAAAGGGATACAAATGGGAAAGGAAGAAGTTAAACTATCCCTGTTTGCAGATGACATGATACTATATATAGGGGACCCGATAAACTCCTATAAGAGACTATTGGAACTCGTAGAAGAGTTTGGTAAAGTAGCAGGATACAAAGTCAATGCTCAGAAATCAACAGTCTTTGTATACACGGATAATGCCAGGGCCGAGGAAGAACTTCTAAGATCAATCCCATTCACAATAGCCACAAAAACAATAAAGTACCTTGGAATAAATTTAACCAAGGATGTCAAAGACCTCTATAATGAAAATTACAAAACACTAAAGAAAGAAATTGAAGATGACACAAAAATGGAAAAACCTGCCATTCTCATGGATTGGAAGAATCAATATCATCAAAATGTCCATTCTCCCCAAAGCAATTTACAAGTTCAATGCAATACCAATCAAAATACCAAAGTCATTCTTCAAAGACCTAGAAAAAATGATGCTGAAATTCATATGGAGAAACAGGAGACCGAGATTAGCTAAAGCAATCCTTTACAATAAAAACAAGGCTTGAGGCATCACAATTCCAGACTTCAAGACATACTACAGGGCAGTTATAATCAAAACAGCCTGGTACTGGTACAAAAACAGATGGATAGACCAATGGAACAGAATAGAAACATCGGAGATCAATCCAAACATCTACAGCCAACTCATATTCGACAAAGGACCTAAAACCAACCCCTGGAACAAGAACAGCCTCTTCAACAAATGGTGCTGGGAAAACTGGATGTCCACATGTCAAAGTATGAAGCAATACCCCTGCCTTACACCTTATACAAAAATCCACTCAACATGGATCAAAGAACTAGAGATGTGCCACGACACCATGAAACTAATTGAGAGCATAGTGGAAACCCTTCAAGATATTGGAACAGGTGAAGAATCCCTGGAGAAGACTCCAGAGGCATGGGTAATCAAAGATAAAATAAACAAATGGGATTACCTCAAATTGAAGAGTTTCCTTACAGCAAAGGAAACAGTCAGGAAAGTGAAGAGGCACCCAACAGAATGGGAGACGTTATTCGCTAACTACACAACAGATAAAGGATTAACAACTAGAATCTATAAAATGATCAAGAAACACCACAGCATCAAAACAAACAACCCAATAAAAAGATGGGCCAAAGACCTTAACAGACATTTTTCCAAAAGGAAATCCAAATGGCCAACAGACACATGAAAAAATGTTCAGGATCCCTAGCCATCAGGGAAATGCAGATCAAAACCACAATGAGGTTTCACCTCACTCCAGTTAGATTGGCTTACATACAGAAATCAACCAACAACAGATGCTGGCAAGGATGTGGGGAAAAAGGGACACTAATCCACTGTTGGTGGGAATGCAAACTGGTAAAGCCACTATGGAAGACAGTTTGGAGAGTCCTTAGAAACCTGAATATAGCACTATCACAGGACCCAGCCATCCCACTCCTTGGAATATACCCAAATGGAATTAAAGGGGAGAAAAAAGAGCCATTTGCACCTCAATATTTGTTGCAGCTCAATTCACAATAGCTAGGACATGGAATCAACCTAAATGTCCATCAACGGATGACTGGATAAAGAAACTATGGGATACGTACTCTATGGAACACTATACAGCAGTAAAAAACAATGAAATCTGGGCATTTACAACAAAATGGAAGAAGCCGGAAAACATCATGCTGAGTGAAATAAGCCAGTCCAAAAGGGACAAATATCATATGTTCTCTCTGATCGATGGCATCTAAACGAGCATCTAAAATGATACCCATTAAGGGAAATGGACACTATGAGAGACAATGACATGAGCAGCCCTTGTCTAGACTGTTGAGGAACAACTTACTATTTTATTCCTTTTAGTATTTTTGTTGTTGTTGTTGTTGCTCTGTTTGTTCTACATAAGACCACTGGTTGAACTCTGTAATCAATGCACAATCATTCTTAGGTGTTTAAAATTAACAGAAAAGTGATCTCCGTTAAACATAGGAGTGGGAATAAGAGAGGGAGGAGATGTATAGGTTGGCACATGCTCACTCAGACTTACCTCCAATGGTGGAACTAGAAATGTGCCAGGGGATTTCAGCTCAATCTTACCAAGGAGGCAGGTACCAATTCCAGTGCACTTGGTAAAGTGATAAGTATAAATACAAACCAATCAAAAAGATAGGGTAAGTGTCGAAGAGATTTCACAAATAAGACCAGTGTAAGAAAACAATGAAGAATAGAAATAAAAGGGAGAGTACGATCCTGGGGGGGAAGCAGGACACACAGCAGACTCATAGAATGGCAAATGCCCAAAACAGCACTCCTGCCTCAGAATCAACCCTTGGGACATTCGAATCTGGCTAAAAGGTCCATGAGAGTCTCATAGGCATGGGAAGCCATGACACGGTGGCAAAAAGCAATCTAAATGAAAGATCCTGGTGAACAACACCCCAGCAGAAGGAACAGGACATCAAGGAGGGAGGCGCCTTTCTCTGAAGGGAGGAAGGAACCTCCACTGTGATATGGCCTTGACTAAACAAGTTCAGAGTCGGTGAACTCAAGGGGCTTCCATAGCCTAGACAGCTCATAGCAAGAGTCTCGGGTGATTGCTGACGTCATAAATAAGAGTGCCAATTGTAAAATCAACAACGGGAGTCACTGAATACAGGCTCCCCACGTAGGATCTCTGTCCTTAATGTGTTTTACTATGAAACTTAAAAACAACACTACTAGTCGAACAATGCCCTGTACATTGTGCGGTTGTGTGAGTGCAGCCTGTTGAAATCCTTGCTTAGTGTATACTAAGTTGATCTTCTGTATATGAAGGTGATTGAAAATGAAACTCGATGAAGGGCGGGATGGGAGAGGGAGTGGGAGAGGGGAAGGCTGCGGGAGGGAGGGGAGGTTGCACTTTGTAAACTCACATTTATTAAATAATAAAAAAAAAGAACTTATGCGGGGGGGAAGCCATTGTAATTCATAGACTGTACTTTGGAAATTTATATTTATTAAATAAAAGCTAAAAAAATAAAATAAAAGTATACTTTGAGGTTAGGTTTCATTTTGTTTACACAGCAGGCTAGGCTACAGTTCATTAGTTATGCAGGCCACCTTGAACTAAACATTATCACTCAAGTACAGAGGTTGACAATAAATGAGCCTCAGCCATCAGGCTGCCATTTGATTGAATTATGTCTATGCAAAACAAATGCCTCATTACACATTGTGCAGCCAATGAAGCTGTTTTTGCAGGTCATTTCTCTTTCTTTGGCTATGATTATGAGGATTTTTTGAAAGGTTCATGGAAAATCTGTATTAAGAAAAACTCATGCATTAATATTAAAACAATTTTTGCAACCAAATAAACATATTCTTAAATTCTGTTGTTCCATAAACTTCTTGAGGGATCTTAATTTGACCCATAGAAGTGATTGGATGGAGCATTCTGAACAATCTTTAGTCTGTATCGTTGTCCAGTTTTTGTATTGCTTTGAAGAAATGTGATAGAGTGAAGCACAAGTTGTTGGCCTTGGTGTCACCCACTGATAAAATCAACGCCAAACACCTGGTGGGCGTCTTTGGATACTGGGGATGATTGGATGGTTGTTTGGCCCCTTTAGTCAAGGTGACCCTGAAGTCATCAACATTGAATAATGCCCTTTGAAGCATCAGGAGCTGAAAGCTATTAATCAAACTTGGTATCAGACACTACTTTTAAAGTCTTTAGCCTAATAGTAGAATGATATAACAAGTACCTGAAACCTACATGCCTATTGATTGGAGTCCATGGCAATATGAAATTTCCATGGAAGTGCGCCAACCTCTCTGAGCTTGAACATTTATATCACTGAAACATCCACCAAATGCATTCATTCAGAATTGCAAGTCTGTATCTGTTCATCGGCATCACAGAGCCAGCCCCTGCAGATACAATTCTAAGAACATAATGATATTCCCTTCCTCCCTTGTTCCCTCCCTCCTTCTGTACTCCTATTTCCCTCCTCCTTCTTTCCTCCTTTCTTTTTTTTTTTTTTAGTTTCTGAGATAACATATTTTACATTTACAAAACAGTAAAAGGGCTTTATACTTCACCAAATAAGAAGTTTAGCAAGTAAAAAAAAAAAAGCAAACAAAAAATGCCCTATTTTATGGGAATATAGACAATGACTATAAATACTAATTGAATGGAAAAATGACCATTTCACTCATATACAGTAAATTTTAAAGTAATCTCAAATCATTTAAACTATAGTATAATATTCTTAACCACTGGTTTGACAAAGGAATAAAACAAAGTTTTACAAAGCTATATTTGCGGCAATATTGATATTGAGGTCAGAAATTCTTTCTTCCTCTTGGTCTAATCTTCTGATAAAGCTCTCAATAGTGGTATTAGCCAGCAGAAGCTTAGGCGGTTCCATTTGACTCACATATAACGTCTGGGTTCATGACTTTCATGAGCTCTTTAGTACCATACATAAGAGTCAGTGGCCATTTAAAAAACAAAAAACAAAAAACAAACAAAAAAAAAACACTCTGACCACGGTACACCGTCACTGCCTTGGCAGCTCAACAGCAATCCCTCCACTCCCCCAAGAAGGAGTTTTCGAAAAACAGAGCTACTCTAGGCTTTCTTTTAGCCCTCTGGGAGCACGTGCCATTGCCAGTTCTTCCTATTATACCTGGAAGAACACATCAGGTGTTGTAGAAACACAAGAGGAAAAGAACCAGAAGCAGACCAACCAGCTGCAAATGGTGAGGCTGCCTGAAGGATATTCCTTTCGCCTCTTTACTAATTTCTTACCTGAATTACTAGGGTCCTGCCCTGGGTCTTTCTGCTTGTAGTAACGGTTCTCATGGGCCTAATAAAATGTAACTTGAGACTTCCAGTTGTTAGAATCCCCCCTTCCAATCTCCCCCTCACACACCAGGGCTGTGGCAGGAGCGACTGTCCTAGGTCACTCGGTCAGGTAACGGTGGGAGCCAGGTAGGCTCTCCTCGTGCTGCAGCTCTGACATGGATTCGAGGCACCCGGATGGATTCGGTGGCTTGGGCTACTGCGCAGGGCCCGGGAGGAGTAGGGCTTTAGCGGGCACTTTGCCTTCAAGGTCTTTCAGCTCCAGCCCGGACCTGGGCCACTGGGTGATGCTTGCCCCAGACAGCCGGGCAGCCAGCCTGCACTGGGACGAGAAGGGTCCGCGGCTCGCTGTGCCCTCCTCCTCCACACCGCACAAAGGCCCCGCAAGGAGCCTTTTCCTGGCAGGGGCGGCGGTGGCTTTAGGGGCAGAGCAGTTGAATGCACTCGCTGGATTTGGTATTGGACTTGCAAGTCTTTTTACAGACAATGCATTGGCCCTTCCTTGCAATGTCCTACGCCATCAATGTCAGGTTTATTACCATGACCGGCCTTATCATTTCATTCCATTTACAGGCATCAGTATTATGTACAGCTTCAACAAAACTCAGGGACCAAGAGCCCTGTGGAAAGTAATGGGGAGTACGTTTATTGTCCAAGGAGTCACACTTGGGGCAGAAGGCATAATTAGTGAATTCACATCTTTGCGAAGGGAGGTTTCACACAAATGGAATCCTGGACAAATAGAACACCGTCTATTGAAATCCCTAACTAATTTAGTAGTGATACCTTTTTATTGAAATAGTATGGAGTGAAATAATTCGAGACATACTGGCATTTTGGAATGTGTTAAAGAAGGAATTGGAGAAGTGACAGCTTTGGGAGTGCCTGTAGCAAACGACTTCTGCTTCTTTCCTCGACCTTCTCCACGGTGCTGTACAGCATTCTTCATCACATCATTAGCTCATTCAGATGTTTGTTCTCCTAATTCTAAAAAGAAAGACTTACAATAGCCGCTTAGTAGAGAACGGTAGCCCCGTGCAGAATATGTTGGATGCTTATTTTTCAGAACTTATTGCTAACTTTACTGCCAGTCTTTGATGTTATACTTTACCCACTGGAAACAGGTTTGCACTGCCTTCACATTCAAGGAACATGCAGAATTATGGGAATGAGAGATTGCAGCAATACAAAAAGCCAGGGGAAGGAGTGCTTGGTTTTTATAAATAGTTGGTGCTGTAATAACACAGTTTACACTGCATGCAGCTGTTTTACAGATTACTAAAATTATTTACTCTACACTTCTTCAGCATAGTGTTTGAGATTCAGGTTTCATCACTGGCTACTCCAGAAGGTATACTCTGGGCAATTTGCTGTGAAATGATGAGGGCTAGAAGAAAGACTGGGAGGGAAAATGGATTGGAAAGTGAACCTGGCAGAAAAAGCCCATTCAGATTATATTGACTCTTCTTCCTTTTTTTTTTTTTTTTTTTTTATTAAGGGATATGTATTTTTTTCTTTTGGATCATGCCTATTGAAGATTTGAAATCTCAATAAAAATAACACTTTGTATGATTTAAATTGTAGCTAGTGTAGCACTCATGCTTAAGTAAAAATGATAATGGGCAGAAGCAAAAACTTTTCATCAATGTAAACTAAATTCCATACAGTATGATCTATCTCTGGCCTTAATATTTGCTACATGTTTATTTTACCTTCTAGATTGATACTGATATATTCTGCTTAATACAGTTTGTAATATCAGTTATTACCTTTAAGAAAATCAAAAATGAAGCAGGAGTCAAAGATTTTAAATTGCATTTATATATAATTATTTTATGGCTATTACATATGTATTATATAAAGTCATTTATGTACCAATATATAATTTGGAATTTCCTTCATTTTTACAAATTCTGTACTTTTAGGTCAACTTATTGCATAAAACAAAATCATACACTTTCTGATTGAATGTCAGAATAAAACATCAAAAGCCAAGATGTTCCCCAAATTTAAGTCAAATTTAGCCTAATTGGGGGCAGTGCTGTGGCTTAGCTGGTAAAACTGCCTCTTCCAGCACCAGCATTCCACATGGGCACAGGTTCAAGTCCTGGCTGCTCCACTGTGATCCAGTTCTCTGCTATTGTCTGGGAAAGCAGAAGATGGCCCAAGTCCTTGTGATCTGCACCCATGTGGGGGACCTGAATGAAATTCCTGGTTCATGACTTCAGATTGGCACAGCTCCAGCTGTTGTGGCCATCTGGGGAGTGAACTGGCAGATGAAAGACTCTCTCTCGCTCTCGCTCTCTCTGCCTCTGCCTCTCTGTAACTCTGCCTTTCAAATAAATAAATTTTTTTTAAAAAAATAGCAGAATAGCACACCTGTCCATATCCAAACCCAGTGTTTGAAGCCCAGCGGCTTAAAATTTGACATACACTTATACAGATTCATCTCTTTAGCTATTTATGTGAATTGTCAGGCTATTTTTAGAGTCAATATTAAGCGGCCATTTGGGGGGTGAACCAATGGAAGGAAGATCTTTCTCTGTCTCTCTCTCTCTCACTGTCTAACTCTGCCTGTCAAAAAAAAAAAAGGTATAAGCTTAATGTAGGCCGATTAATACCTTTAAAAAATAAATTTGGTTGAATGAATGCTAAAAAAAAAATGCAAACCTTAAAGGAAAATTCTTCTTGTGTTTTCTGAATGAGGAGAAAAAATTTCAACAAATAAAGAAAAAACAATTTTTAATCAATTCAAAAATTCTTATGTTTATAAATTTAATTTGAAGAGTTAGACTCTTATATAGAAAAATAATATATTTTTGGCCTATCATTAAACATTTTAAAATGCCATTTATTTCTTTGGATATCACAGTTTTACTGTAAACTGTTTACCCTTCTGAACCACTGAGACTTTGCACTAATGTTTCAAACCAAAACATAATTTACTTGTTAAATGTCACAGGAATGGTTACTTTGTTGATTAATAGTGTTGGAACAAAAAATAGTCAAAAATGTGAAACAAAATAATAATTATCTCTACTGTCTTGAGTTTTAGTTACTAAAACAACGTTAAGTTTTCCATTATTTAATTTTAGCTGCACTAAAGCTGGAAAATAAAATCAAACATTGCTGATCACATTAAAATTTTATAGTTAATATTTTTTAGATTATGGTTTTTAAATTTATTTATTTGTTCTCAATTGCTAAATAATTTTATGTGTATGCAATATATTTATCTTTCTGGAAAGCTTTCACTTTTATTATAGTCAAGGTGGTTTCAACATGAGTAAGCCAAAAATTTCAAGTTTTAGGAAATTTTTATAATAGAATCTGAATGGAATTAAGTGTTTAATAGTGAAAATCTGTAGGATTCTTCATCTAGCTAAAATTTCTTAATTCAAGGTTATTGGAAGTGAGTATAGACATACAGGTAGATCAATTTGTTTCATTGTGGAATCATTGTAATAGGCTGAACCACACATCAGTAAGTTTTGTCTTATTTTCCATCTCTGGAGAAAGTAAAAATTACCATTAAAAGCTAATATTGAAAAGTGGTAAGTAAAATACTGATTACCTTTTACTGCTATTCCAAATTAGTTGAACATTCAAGTTTTAGCTAGGCAAATGTATTTCAATGATTTTACAAGAGTAAGTAAAATAACTATAATCTTTTTTTTTTTTTTTTTTGACAGAGTGGACAGTGAGAGAGAGAGACAGAGAGAAAGGTCTTCCTTTACAATTGGTTCACCCTCCAATGGCCGCTGTGCCACACTGTGCTGATCCAAAGCCAGGAGCCAGGTGCTTCTCCTGGTCTCCCATGTGGGTGCAGGCCCAAGCAGTTGGGCCATCCTCCCCTGTACTCCCTGGCCACAGCACAGAGCTGGACTGGAAGAGGAGCAGCCGGGACAGAATCTGGCGCCCAGACCAGGACTTGCTTACTTTTACAGATTGTCCTGACTACTCACAACTCTTTTCAGCACTGGCATTGTCACAGTTGCAGCGTCAGGGTGCTGGCTCTGCAGGTAGAGGATTAGCCTATTGAGCCGCGGCACCAGCCACTATCATCCTCCTTTAAAGTTACTTTTTTTTAACATATGGGGTTTTTTTTTAAAGATTTATTTATTTACTTCAAAGGCAGAATTACAAAAATGCAGAGACAGAGAGAGGTCTTTTATCTGCTGTTTCACTCCCCAGAGGGCTGCAATTGTTGGAGCTGCACCAATCCAAAGCCAGGAGCCAGGAGCTTCTTCCAGGTCTTCCATGTGGGTGTCAGGGGCCCAAGGATTTGAGCTATCTTTCACTGCCTTCCCAGACCACAGCAGGGAGCTGGATCGGAAGTAGAGCAGCGAGGACTTGAACCAGCACCCATATGGGATGCTGGCACTACAGGCGGCGACTTTATCTGGTAAGCCACAGCGCTGGCCTCCCATTGGCTACATTTCTCAAGATGATAATAGTTCCGTATAGTATTTTTAAATTCAATATGACTAATAGTGTTAAGGAAAAGATTCTCTTGAGTTCCACAGGCCCAATGAACCTCTTAAAAAAACCAGGGTTAGGTCATGGAGCTTTTGATATGCTTGCCTTACATAATAGGACTTCTTAATCTTAGTCAAACAGACTGAGAGTAACTCAACTAAAAACTGATAAATATTAACATATTATGTTAAATAAATATATGAGTTGTTTTACTAAATATGTGTATAAGGAGTTTGCTGAGATGCCTTCCTCAATTTTGTTTCATAGGCCCTTAAAAAAATCCCTAGGTTATTAAAGTTATTTACTGAAGTCTCCAAACTCACAGCACTAAATGTTATAAATATGAAATAGTAAAATAGTTATTTTAGAAATAGTTATGGATCAAGGTATATATACCTTAGCTGGTTTACTTAGAAGCAAACCTGGAGAGATAGGAGGGCTTGCTTGCTTTTACAGATTGGCCTGACTACTCACAACTCTTTTCAGCACTGACATTGTCACAGTTGCAAAAAACATCTGCTTAATTGATTGGACACAAATGCTTCAATATTCATATCCAAGTGTTCATATATTTGTTGAGAAAATTTGGGGAGAAAATGCTACTTTGATAGTTGTTCTGTCAACTGAGATAGGAAATGTTTGCCTTCAGGTTGCTCCCTGATGGAATAGAACAG